TTTTTTGCTTTCACATGCGTGTTTTTCTTTTTCAATGGAGTTGTGATATATATTGAGTCGGAATAGATGTATCTATTTATAATGATCAAATAATTTCACTACCAAATCAACATGCTACTACTAATTAATCTTACGACAACGTTAACACACACAATACTTATTAGCTGTTGAAGAGACTCCCGAAGAATAACTACGGAAGTGACAACTGCGGTTGTTCAATTATTTATTATTTATTAATTATTAATTATTAATATTTAATTTGATAAATTTTTAGGTTACGGAGGAACAACGCGCAATACTAATTAACTGCCAATCCACGACATAAACTCCGATCAGACAACTAACATATGGTTGTTCAAATATGTATTTATTTATTAATTATTAATTAGGCATAAACTCCAATCAGGCAACTGACATATGGTTGTCCAAATATTTATTAGTTATTAATTATTAATTATTAATATTTTATTTGATAATTATATAGAGGAACAACATATTTTCATGACATATAATTTATTATTTATTATTATTAAACCCATCGATGAATTAAAATGTAGAAAAATAAAGAAAATATGTGATGGTTCTTTTGATAGTTACTTGCACATTATTTTTTTTTTATTGAAAAAACTATAAATCATATAGTGACTAAACAAATAGGGGCATGTGAATTTTTAATAATAAATAACAACACGACAATTGAATCTTTAAATAATGAATTAAAAATTTTAAAGCAGATAGTGGGACTCCAAACAAAGACGTGGGCGACGTGGTGAATTTTATTGAATTGTTGTTTGACCCAACATGTGTTAAACGTAAGTTATGACTTTCTAAAAATAGAAAGTAAAAGATAGGACTCGCTAAAAAACTTTCTACTTTTAGAAACTGTGTTGTCTGATCATATAGTATCATATAGTAGATAGATTATAAACTGCCACATGTTTATAAACTCATCCACTATTCTGAATGTCGGTTCTAGTTTGCAACGCTTGTTCAAGGGACTTCGCTTCAACCTAAAACCAGCCAGTCATATTGACACTCCAAATCAGAATCGATGGTTGGTTTGTTTCCAGTTTCGCGAGATTGCTTTATAAATTTTTTAAAAAAAATTTCACTATTAACTGGTTGAAGAGAAAAAAATAAATATATATAATAATGAATCGACCATTTGGCCAATCCTGTTCTTTCTGTGATATTTATTTTGAATGGCCGTTTGTCAAATATTTTGATCCTTACCATGATCCCGTCCTTGTCCTATTTATTCACTGTCCCACCTACATATTCCAACATATCACAAAATAAACACCAACTCTTCACTAATTGGTCTCCAATTACTCCATCAATGTTAAAATAAGAAAAAAAAAACATGGCAAAATCAAGAAGTGCTCTTTCTCAACAATTGCCACGGCCACTGAGACAGGTGGGCGGAAAAAATCAAGGGATTGGATCTAACGGGAAGGGTTGAATTTCGTCATGATCAGATGGTTCATCGGAGGTCGGACTCCCGCATGAGGTGCTCCATCAACGGTGGACGTGCAATGGGTGGTTGTACCTTGGTGGCGGCTCTAAGGAAAGCTCAGCCGTACTTGGCTGCGCACAGGGGAAGCACATTGGTGGTGGTGCTGTCCAGTGAAATCGTAAATGGGCCCCACTTGCCCTCCATCCTGGAGGTTTGAAGTTTTCCTTTGGAAAACTTCATTTGAATTTTATTTCTGTTTGTTAAGCTATGACCCATTGTTTAAGGCAGTGTTTTTCAACCCGCACCGGTCCGACGGGTCGACCCGGAGCCGGAACTGATCTGAATGGGCTATTCGGATCGGGCAACAAAGGACCTGGTCAAACCCGGTCTTGACTCGGTCGCCGGGGCATTGACCCGGCAGGGTCAACCCGGTTGACCTGGCCCCTATATATATTTTTCGTTTTTTTTTGCATTTTTTAAAATATTTTTTGTTTTTATAAAATAAATAATATATATATATATTTATATGGTAAACATTTATCATGAAATATATATTATTAACACTTTAATTTATGAATTTTATATATAAAACATTTAATTTTGTTACTTTTATGTATATTTATATGACAATATACTCTATGTATAATTTAAAAAAATTTAAATTAATCATCCGATTCAGAGATTGACCCGTGACCTGGAGACCTGTCCGGGTCGGTTCCCGGGCCGGGTTTAAAAACTACAGTTTAAGGTGACATTTTATCTTTTTTTTTTTCTTTTATTTTTTTTTTAAAAAAAATCCCTCAAAATGAAATGTTTTACATGTGTAATCGGTTTTACGGCCGAACATAGGAGTTTGTTTATATCCCTATATATAATTTCAGAATGCGTGGAGCTCGCTTCCGAATTTTATGTGGTAAATTTTCATGTTTTGTCATTTGGTTTGGATTGATTTTAATTTATTTTCAATCCAAAAATAATTTGTCTTGAAATATTCATATACTAGTACAATACCCGTGTACTACACTGGTGGTTGATAAAATAATTAAATGTACAATAAAAAAATGAAAAAAAAAATATTTTTTGGTGAAGTTGGAAAAAACTAGTGTGTAGCCCGTGCTATGCACGGGTAAACAATATAATAATAATAATTATAAATTAAAGATGAGGATAAACAATATTAATTATAATTATAAATTAAAGATGTGAGGTTACATGTGATAAAATTTACCGACATAGTTTATTGTAAACAATATAAAATTATTTTGTATAAAAGAACTTAAAAAATGAGTTTTAAACTATTGTATTGTGATTATATTTTATATTTATAGAGTCGGTGTCTCTCGTTTATTAATTTTTCAAGTTTTTTAAATTTATATAATTTAATAATTTATAATATTAATTTATGCATAAATGTATTATTATATAAATTTTTGAGACGTAAAATTATTTATTATATTTAATATGATATCCTTTATATTATTGTTTTTAAAAAACATAATAACATTTACTTCCTTATATAATACATTCAAATCGAGAAATAATAATTTATAATATATCTTATAATTTAGTTTATGTAACACTTAATTTTCATATTTTATCTAAAGTCTATGGAGAAAAACATATTGAATTAATTATTTTATAGTTTTTTTTATAATAATAGATGAAATTATTTTATATTTTATATACTCAATATGAATGTCTAATCGAAGATCGTGAAAATATGGTTATTTTAATATATCATAAATAAAAAATAAAATAAAAATAAAAAAATTATAAAGTTTTAAATATGAAAAAGAATACTAATTCATGAACTATTATATGAATTAAATAAAAAATTATAAGAATGCTATTTGGTAACTTAAGTAAAAAAGGAAAGTTAAAATAGTTTAAGGTAATTTTCAAGCCTAATAGTCAACACCAAACTTGTACATTTGTTAATACGAACCACAAATTTACGACAAGTAAACTTACCAACCACACGAGTCTGCCACTTAAGTTCAGCGCATTCGGTAATTATATACAAGGGCGATTTTAGATTATGATTTGTTAAGACTTTTTTTTAAAATTTACTGGAATTTTTAAAGAAAAACTAGTGCATAGCCCGTGCGATGCACGAGGCACATATATTAATTGAGTCATCTATATGGCTTGCACGATTTTGGCAAAAAATAATAGGGTTGGATCATTAATTTTCCATTTCTTTCAATCAGTGATATTTATTTTAGTCATAACGTTGACATGTTATTAATATACCATTCTGCTAACATGTTATATTGATATAAATTTGATTCTGCAACATATATTTATCCATCGATATAAGAAAAAAAATAAAATTTATGTTTATTCTTGTTCACCATTTATTTAATAGTCAATTATTATTTTATTATAATATTTGTTGTCATATAATGTCATTATTATTATTTATAAAGGTTATAGAAGTAGTCTTCTTCTTCTTCTTAGTTTATATAATGAGTTTAAAATAAAAAAATTTCTATAAATGTTTACAAAATACCCGCACATGTTTTTTAGAATTTAATTTTCTCATAATAAATAAAAAAAATTGATTTAGAAAATTGTCAAATAATAAACCTTACATAATCAAGAGATTTTTTCTAATTTGCATCCTAAGGCTTTATTAGTTTATTTAACATACTATGCAATATAAATATATATTTTACAATAAATTCATTATGGAAACAAATAAAAATAAAACAATTGATAAAATTATCATGGTTGGCAATAATATACAAATAAATCAAATGTTGAAAATGTAAAGAATAGTTAATATATTTTAATTTTATTATTTAGCCATTAATAAATTATTTAATGATGTGATCATTATCTCTTAAATGGTAAATTATTTTAATTTAAAAAATTATTTATTTATATAATTAAATAAAGGTTAAAAAATATTATTGAAAAATATTAATTCATCAACTTGATTTCGGCTAATTAGTTAGAGGGAGAATTATTTAACATGTTACCATTGTTTATAAATATTTTAGGATGAAAGTCAACATTTGTGAAAAAAAAATAATAATATGGTTAAGACTTAAAAGTTGTTTTCATGTTTATGTTGACCAAAATATTATCAACATCAATCACGAAAAATCAAATTATAGTTTATTATAATGGATATCAATAAAATTATTGCATATGCTAATAAAATTATTCAAGGAAAGAATCTTTTTGGTCATATTTGATTTGGAAATGTGTATATTAAAGCAATTAATGCATATATTAAAAAAATTTCTAAATAAAATATGCATTAAATGATCATTGACTTTTTTGCTGTTATTTTTTATAAATGTTAATTCTTTATATATATATATAAATTCTACTTAAAATCTCACCTCCAAACTTTATGATTTCCCGTATTCTCCAAAATCTATAAATCTTAAAAATATTTAACATGTTACCACATTCAGATTGATTGAAAGCATTGCAATGATTTGGGATTGGTGGGAATCACTAGTTGCACGAACCGTTTTCAGACAACTGATTCAGTGTGGGCCCCAACTCCGAATATTTTCTCATTGCGACTAAATCTTCAATTTTAGGAAAATAGACTACAATTACGGAACCATTCCATTTTATTTATTTATTTATTTTTGGTATTATTCAAATTAGTTACTATAAATAAAAAAATAAAACCTCTACTGCGAACATCAAAAGTCTGCACTGGCCGCTCTTCCGCCGCCACTCTCTCGGCCGGCCGCCGTAATTGACATAAATTAACATCACGCTGAGCTAGGGTTCTTATGAAAAACCCTACCGTTGGCGAATTTTGACCCTAATGGCTGCTGCCTCACCAAACCCAAGCACTCCGATTCAGAACCGCCACCGGCGGCGCAGTACAATACTCTCCCCCAACTCAATTCCGAGAACGAAAATAAGTTTCTGCGTCACCCGACCCGTAAAGTTCTCGTCTCTCAAGACTTACCATGGCCGCGGAAAGAAAATCTGCGTGTTGGGAGAAACTGAGGCCGCCGAGACCGAAGCCAGCAGTTGTTCTGTCAAGGATGAGCTCTTCGTGCAGTTCTTTCGAGAAGCGTGGCCTTATTTTCTGGCTCACAGGGGAAGCACTTTCGTTGTCTTAGTGTCAGCTGAGATTATCGATAGCCCTCATTTGGATCCTTTACTGATGGCATGTTTGCTTAATGATTTGTTTTTGTGTCGTTTTACATTTCTAGCAGGATACGTGATTGTAATAGTGTTGATCTAATTGACGGTACCTTGTTTTGTAGGATATTTCTCTGCTTCATGGGTTGGGAGTTAAATTTGTTCTTGTACCGGGAACACATATCCAAATCGACCGGCTTTTGGTAGAAAGAGGTGTATAATTTTTTCTCAAATTCTTGTTTTAAACTGGTTTCAGTCAGAATCTGGTCTAATTCTGTGATTGCTATATGTGAGTCTGGGAATTTTCTGTTCTGCTGGTTGTGATTTGTAATTTTTCCATTATGTTACATCTCAGGATCCGAAGCCAAGTATGTTGGTAGCTACAGAATCACAGACTCTGACTCCCTTACTGCTTCAATGGATGCATCCGGAAGGATCCGGAGCATGATAGAAGCGAAGCTGTCCCCAGGCCCCTCATTGAGTGGCATCCGCCGTCATGGAGAAAACGAACGTTTGCATGATGGTGTTACTGTTGCCAGTGGAAATTTCCTGGCTGCTAAGGTTAGAATGGTCGTTCACTGTATTTTTTGCAGATTGCAATGGAGTTTTATTATGTGGTGTCACTTTTGCCTTTTGTTTTTTGGTTGGCAGAGAAGAGGGGTAGTTGAGGGAATCGATTACGCATCGACTGGAGAAGTCAAGAAAATTGATGTTTCTTGCATTCGTGAGAGGCTCGATCAAGGCTCCATTGTGCTTTTAAGCAATCTAGGATATTCCAGTTCTGGGGAAGTCCTAAATTGCAAGTATGCTATATAGCCTTCTTGATAGGGATTTTTAGCTGCCACTCAGGGGATACGATTATGGGTTAATATATATATATATATAAGCTAATTTATTCTGTAATTCTTAGCTCTAGAGGAAATTAGATTATAATTCAGTTTCCACCTTGGATTAGGTTTTCCAAGATATGCTTTCGATACATGCTTTGACTTATTCTGTAATTCATCTTTCAACTGCAGTACCTATGAAGTTGCTACAGCATGTGCAATGGCCCTTGGAGCAGAGAAACTCATCTGCATCATAGATGGCCCGATTCTAGATGAATGCGGACGGCTTATCCGTTTTCTGACTCTTCAAGATGCGGACATGTTAATTCGTAAACGAGCAATGCAAAGTGAGACTGCAGCAAATTATGTAAAAGCTGTAACTCAAGATCTTGCTTGTCTTGCGCATGACGATTCAAATGACACATTCCCTTACGCAAATGGGAAGGCTTTTAGCCGGACTCCCAAATTCCAAAATGGTGTCGGCTTTGATAATGGGAATGGATTTTGGTCCGCTGCCGAACAAGGCTTTGCTATTGGAGGTCAGGAAAGGCTGAGCAGGTTAAATGGTTACTTATCCGAATTAGCCGCTGCAGCTTTTGTTTGCAGAGTAAGTTTCCACTTTGGTAATAGTCAGTAATAACCAATTGGTTGTTTCACTAATTAACATTGTTTGTTGCTAATTTGTTTGTGTTCATTTCTGTCAAAAGCTGTTGGTGAGTGATTCCTGCTTTTATACTTTGACTATTAATTCGCCGTATTGTAATCAGAACTGCTCTTCAGGGGCACTTTGAGATCAGTTATTTACATTCTTCTAGGCCTGATGCAGAAAAGCAGCATTATTGGATTGAGATTTTTGAAGTTCACTATCTTTGTTATACATGTGTTTGGTTATGTTGGTTGTTATCAGGGTGGTGTCCAGAGAGTTCATTTATTGGACGGCACTATGGGCGGAGTTTTGCTTAAGGAATTGTTTCAGAGAGATGGAGTGGGTACAATGGTGGCTAGGTCTGTACCTCCTTATCAAATATCTCCCTCAAACATTTTGCAATAAAGCATTGATTCTATTGTACTGTGAAACATTAATTTTCCTATACTTGCTCAAATCGAACGTAAGTTTATGCCTTTTCTCAACCGATTTTCACAGCGATCTTTATGAAGGAATGCGCACGGCCACGATTTCAGATCTCTATGGAATCCAGCAACTTTTGCTACCATTAGAGGAATCCGGCACTTTAATAAAGAGGACTGATGAAGAGGTTTCGTATAAATTTGATCCATCATGTTATTTTGACTTGTATTACGAATAAACCCCCAGTCCCCCTTTTGATAAATCATTTCCTGCAGTGCAGCTACTTAAAGCATTGGGTTCTTTCATAGTTGCCGAAAGAGAAGGTCAGGTCATTGCTTGTGCGGCTCTTTTTCCTTTCTTCAATGAGAAATGCGGAGAGGTGGCTGCTATAGCTGTTTCTCCCGAATGCCGTGGTCAAGGACAAGGAGACAAATTACTTGGTATGGCAATCTCTCTCTCTCTCTCTCTCTCTCTCTGTGTGAACCATAAATTGATTCAAGGTTCCATAAGATATGCAAAAAAGTCAGGCAAATATTTCCATTTTGATATTTTTGTATTTAATAAGGGAAAAATAGTAGATATTTCATAGTTTCATGTATGCAAATTTTGTGTAGAGTTCATTTTGATGCATAGATAGATTGGTGATATTTTTTGTGTTGAACATGGACAGATTATATTGAGAAGAAGGCATCTTCGCTTGGACTGCAAAAGCTTTTCTTACTGACAACACGCACGGCAGACTGGTATGTCATTCTAAAACCTATCGTTATATCTTATCTGGAGCATTCATTGTATGGATGGATAGTTTCTAAAGGTCACCAGCGAAAAGATCATGGAGTTTGCCTGGAAATTTTGTCACTTTTTAATCCCATGATATATGCATCCGATTGTATATTTATATTTTCCTGGCAAATTCTTCTTTATTATTATTATTTTTTTTACTTCCTCAAAATGTACGCTGAGTTGCATGCTTGTTATGTTGTAATTTGTTCTTGTTTCTGAAAGTTTAATGCCCTTATTTTTGCAGGTTTGTGAGGCGTGGCTTCTCAGAATGTTCGATTGAGTATTTACCAGAAGAGAGGAGAAAAAAGATTAACATATCTCGTAGATCCAAGTATTACATTAAGAGACTTCTACCTGATACAAGCGGGATTCGACTGAACAGGGCTTCTGCGTACTAAGACATATAATACTATCCTACTGGCATGTGTCGTCAAGGTCGAGTGTTACTATGCAATAACTTTTATCGTTGTCAAATATGAAGAGCGCTTGGATACAAATGCTCAAATGAGTTTTTTGGTTAATCAGGTTTATTTTGAAAATGTTACTATAATTAATTGTTAGCGAGATTCTGAATTTATATTAAAACAATATTTTAAATAAAATAATTAATTTTGATTGGAAGTTATTAAAACAATATTTTAAATAAAATAATTAATTTTGATTGGAAGTAAAAATATGAGACTCCGTTTGTTTTGAGGGATTTACTGATGGATTTGAAATTCATAGATTTCAAATTTACAAGTTTAAATGCTCATGCATGTTGGGATGTTAATGGAAGTTGGAGGATTTTAAATTTATGTTAGATATTTTTTAGTCATTACTAGTACAATCCCGTGCGATACACGAGTAACATATATTAATTAATATTTATAAATAAAAAAATATCATTAAATAATATTTATAAATGAGAAACATGGAATCAATATGTAATACAATGTACCTATATTAATTTATTGAAAATGTTATATAAAATTTAAATTGTGCAAAATTACGTAAAAATGTCTATATAAAATTAGTACACAACCCGTGTGTTGCACATTACTGATAGTAAATTACGTTATATTCGTTTCAAAATATGTGTCATTTCAAAAAAAATTATTCAGAAATTCAATTTGACTATAACGTGATTCCATAAAATAATTATTTTGGTAAAATTTTATCATATATTTAAAAAACTATGTGTATAATAAGTATAAATATAAAACTTATATTGTTTCATTAATTAACATAATTTTTTTTTGTATAAAATATCTAAATCTTGAAATTTAAGTAGTTGAGTAAAAACAATCAGTCATAAGATTTTTTATGCAAAAAAAGTCGACACTCTTTGTCATGCTAAAAAAAATGAACAATGCAATTCACACAAAAATTATTTGAAATGTTCTAACAAAAAATGAATTAAATCGAGACCCACTAATTATACAAAACAAAAATTGACCAAAATTGTTTCTATTAAAAAATATCGATATACGCACATTATATAAAATATCCGTTAATATTATTTTTTAAGAGTTACGGTAATTTTATGATGTTAATTTCATATAAAAAATTGAAATAAAAATTGAAACTCACGCCTAAAACTCAATATATTGTCCTGCGCATTACAGAAAAAAGTATACCGTAGATTATTTTTTCAACAAATTTGAAATTTCTAACCAAAAAACAGTCATTAAATAATTTAAATAAATTTGCTTACTTTATACCACATTTTAATTAATTTACTTACCATAGAAACACCCATCATACCAAAAATAAATTCGTCCACTTTATACCGTATTTTAATTAATTAACATAATTTGAGTAATCAAGGTATCTTAAAATATGGGTTAATTACTTACTTAAACACTTTATACCATATATTAATTAATTCACATGATTTGAGTAATCAAGGTATCTTAAAATATGACTTAATTACTTTCATAAATAATGAGCCACAATTTCCATAAGTTATCATTTAAAATATACCATAAATTGTTAAATTAATTTCTCGAAATAGTAAATAGATTTTTTTGGAGGGAAATAGTTACTATTTAAAAATAATCAAACCTTTATATATATATATATATAGATTTTGAAGGATTTGAAATGACTCATCAAACCTAGTCATTTGAAATCCATTGTTTATCACTAATGACGACCACGCCGTCCGCCATAAGTTCATCACCACCGCGAGTCAACACTATCGGTGCGAACTAGACAATTTATTTATAATATTTTCAACACATCCATTCAAGGAGTCTGCAAATAAAAAAAATTATATTTCAAAAATTTTTAAATCAAGGGATTTCAAATCCCTCAAAACAAACGTAGCTTGAGAGGAATGATGTTAGTTAAAATTATTTGAATAGATGACTAGTGAATTAAAATTGATTTGGAATGTAAGAATAATTATGTTGAAGATAGTCATAGGGTTAAGCTAAATTTTGAGAATAAATTAAATATGAACTGAGATAATTTATAAAAAAAAAAAAGCCCTTAAGGTCCTACAATTTTCACTTCTGATTGCCATGAGATTTTTAATACATATTTATGTTTAATCTGATTGTCTTTGGAAAATGTAATATTTTACACCTACAACCACCCAAATGCATTGATTAGCAAGGGAAAAAATAAAAAAAAAGGAATGGTTTGGTAGTAGTACTGATTTGTAAACTATCTATCTCTGGTGCGTGATGTATCTATGCTGAAAAATACAATGAATATCACAAAAACAAGGTACAACAGCTGCTGTATGTTAGGACATAGAACCATGTCGAAAACGAAACAAACACTAATGTGTATCCAATTTATTGATTCAAAGAGCTTAACAGAAACACACTCCAATGTAGGAAAATTACAAGATGATTGAAATTCATATGAGACGGGAAGTTGTTCCACCTTGTATTGGCCTCGTCCAGAGAGGCCTAAAGGAAAAACATTAGGAATATGAAAACTAATTTTCCTTGGGAGGCCCTTTCCATTTGAAGTTGTCTGCATATGACTTCACCTGCAAGCCAAGCACGCAAGAATATGATGAGCAAATTCAATTCTCTCCTCATCTATTTTCCATCAAGAAATCAACACAGGGAATCTCTTACATAGCATCAACAGGAATAGAACTTCACTAAGAGAAAAAAATGAAAATCAATTGAACTTCTAGGTGGAACTCCAAACAAACAAATTTCATGCAAAAAGATGGTCTCTGTAAATACTCATATTAGAATGGAAGTAATCTTACAACGTATGGGGGTTTGACAGCTTATTGGAAAAAGCACATCGAAACTGTCAAGAGGCAGAACATAACAACCAATTTTACCTTCGAAATTGTTATGATTGAGTGAATGAGAATAGTACTTTCAATGGAATCTTTTGACTGCGTAGCACATTATGAGTTGATAACAGATCTTTCACCTAGATTAGAAATATATACTAATGAAATTAACAGCACGCACCAAGTCCTAAAAACTAGTTGAAACCTTTAATGTGGCGGCTGAGAGTGAGTTATTTTCATTTTTTCTAGGTTGGGGTTGGGGAAGCAAGTAAAATATTGAGCATTAGAATAAGGTGGAAAAGGGTCGACAACTTTCAACACATGTTACTTCTGAGTGCCTTGGAAAAAAGAAATTAAGAGTTATCAGTTAAACTATTCGTGCTAACAGCTAGAAGGTCATTGAATTAATCACACAAAAATAACCAACCTTCAATAATGGAGTGTGGTGCTTCTTGACCTGCAAATTGACGCAACAAGAAATATAAGAACTTGGTTTCACAATCATATTTATAGGGTGAGGACCAGTAGCTATTTATATTATATTAAATATGAATTGGAACCATTATGATGCAACAGAAACATAAGGTGGTCAAAAAATGCTCTTCTTGTTTACAGATGATCCATTTGCCAAATAGCATAAAACTAGCGAAATAAGAGATTAACAAGATAAATGCCAGTTAATAATTATCCTTTTTAGTAAATGCAGTAGAAAAGTCAGGTTTTCAAATTCCATGAGCTTCATAACAAATCACATAGATATCCAACTTCACATGAAATGCATGAGAAAAATCAGCCAAGTTCAACAAAGCTGGTAAGCATCTTCTACTTTCTTTGGACAAAACAAACATATAACAAAACTATGTTCGACTTTTCAAAGTAAGCCGTTGATACATTACAAGGTCTTGAGTTGCTTTTCGACCAGTCAAAAATTTAGAGAAAAAATAAGGTCAAACTTCTGGGTGTCAAACAATTTGAGAAGAACTTTGCATTCACCAGGAGGCAGAAAAACATAATACACCATACCGTGTAATCCCAGCCATGTCTCTCAGCAAAAGCTACTGCAGCTTCTTGACTGTCGAAACTTAGTCCAGCATCACCAACATTTGCATATGGGTCTCCAGTGGACGTCCAACCCATTAATGGATTTTCCCACCTGCTTATCAGCAATAATATATGGTTACTGAATAAGCACAGTGATAAAGAAATTGGTGTTAAAATTTGATTATTCATTCGAATTACAGCAACATTCTGGAAAGCAACCCCAGTTCCGTCTGACCCCAGCTCATTCGACAAATTGCCAAAATAAAAATAAATCACTCCCTATGTCTCTAATTGCTTCCTTTTTAAACATCACAGCAGTGAAGGAGTTCTAGAATTGCTGAACATCGAAAAGAAACTGACCGCCCAATTCAGCAAAAAGGGAGTGTTCGATTGCAATAGCTTAAAGCACCAAAGTAAGGATATAAAGCCATATCAAAAGGCACCAAACAAAAGAAGAGAGGCATACTTTTGTGTGGAAATGAAGTTGATCTTCCACCTCCCCACCTTCCCGGATCCTTGCTGAGAAGCAGTTCTAGCAGGCGAGTAGATCTGAACCTGAACCACCAAATCCAATTGCGTCAGGTAAATATTCAACATTCATTTCAAACTACTAATGGAATCTACGCTAGCTAACTCAACCAATCATTTCCCCCCCACCCTCTAAGCGAAATAAATTCTCCCATAAAATGATATCAATCGATTAAGAAGGGGAACAAAAAACAACGATACCCTTCTGCGGAGGTGCTCTTGGGGGATACCGGAGACCATGCCGATCTCGCCGGGTTTCACTTCGACCAATGAACCTTCAGTTGAAAATGCTCTCGTAATTGGAGCCAACGCCGGCCGGTAAGCCTTGCCGGACCTGTTTGCTAGCCGTTGCAAATGGGTCGCCATCGCGCGATTGTCCGATCAACTGCAGAAAAGTGGATTCCCTTTAATTTTTAGGGAGAGCGGTGATAATTTAGGGGCGACTACAGAATTTAGCAGGGAAAAAAATTACAGATTGTTTTGGGGCAAATGGGCAATTATCTAACTTTGGGGTTAGCTTTGTTGTCCCACAGGATTAAAGCTCTTGGTATAATATAATAATGATATTAAAGAAATGCTATGGATAGATAATGATGTAGTACATCCTATCAAAAATAAAAAATTAAGTGAACTCCCACATGTACACTGCTATGTACATTTATTATATACTTGTAGCATTTTACATAATATTATATTGCAGATAGTTTGTCTCTAAAACTGAAAAGAATGAAGTGTACGTAAGCTTTTTTTGTGTAGGGACGGACAATAAAAAAACTGAATTGCTAAATACCGCACCCATTTTACTACGTACCGCACCCCTAAAATACTAAATTACCCTTTTATTAAAAAAAAAAATAAAAATAAAAAAATTTAATTTTTGCTTCCAAATCCCCCCAACCCGTCGACCCCTTCCCATATT